CTCTCTCTCTCTCTGTGTGTGTGTGTGTGGGCTGAGGGACCTGACTACTCCACGCACCTCCAGCACTTCAAACCCTTGGAAACGCTGGGCTCGCATGAGCTTCGATGTTATGCATCTGGACACTCTCTTGGGCCAAATCCATACTCCCCCTCCAATCACTTGAGGCGCTTGGCAACGCGGGTCCAGTCCTCCTGCCTGCCGTGTTCTCCCTCCTCGCACAGGTCGCCTCCTCTCCTTCAGCACCCTTTTCCTTTGTCCTTCCCCATGCTATTCTCCGTCATCGACATAGCCATCTCCATAGCCACCGTGGTCATCGCGCCATAACCATCTCCATAGCCATCGCCATCCTCATCCCCGTCCCCTTGTGCCGCATTGCAAAACAAGTTTCCCTACCTCCTCGTCCTCCTTCCCGCTCTCTGTCACGCGCGCTGCGGTCGGTCTGGCATTCCTTCTGGCGGCCACAGAAAGAACGCGCGTGCGCGTGCGCATGCACGTGCACGTGCGCACGCCTGCCTACCAACGAACAGCCTCCACCAACGAATAGCTAGCTTCCACCTTTAGAGTACATACTCACAAGGACACTGCATCTGACCGCAATTACGGCGGAACGTGGATGAATCTGACAGCAATCACGCCCAGAGCGTAGTGTGAGTACACCCTACACTTGTGTTGTGTAGTGTAGTGTAGCAACACTGCGTGGCGGCGTTCGTTGGCCCGCGCCGGCTCTCCGCCCCCCCTCTCCCCTTTTCCTCATCCTGCCCCCAGGCCTCCCCCTCTCCCCGCCCGCCCCACAACCTATCCCCGCGCTATGTGATGGTGATACCGTTTCTACGCGCGTCTGCAAACACGGGTGCGTCGAGCCGCCGAACTGCTTCCGCACTCTCGCCCACCCGCCGCTGGCGGGTGACCAAGCGCGGGTGCGCGGGTGCGCGGGTGCGCGGGTGCGCGGAGTGCGCGGCGTGCGCGGGTGCGCGGAGTGCGCGGCGTGCGCGGGGAGTCCTACCCGCCGCCCCACTCCGCCGGTCCATGAGTGAGCGTCAAAACACAAAACAACGAAAGACCGCGGGGTGACTGACGAGTTTTGCGGTGAGGATGCGGCACCGTACTATTCGAGTGTACGAGGTGACGGACCCCGTTCTTTTCGAACAGAAGTCTAAGAGACCGTAGTATTCGAGTAGTCGAGTAGTCGAGTACTCCAGGACCCCCTTCTTTTCGAAAAGAATACGACACGTACTATACTATTCGCGTAGTGGAGGACGGTGACCGAACCCGTCAAGTTGGAGAAGGCGGGAAGGCGACAAAAGGACGGACGCATACTGGACTCACGATCCCCCGAACACAACGCACCCTCATTTGGGCCGTATCCGACCGGAAAATGGCTGCTATACATTCATTATCAGGGTGCGTTATGCTCGGGGTCAGACCCCAGAGGCGATGAAATGAACTCGCCCCCTGCCCGGCCCCTCCCCGCCTCGGCTTCCGTCCGTGGGCAGCAGAGCTGCAGCTTTCGAAAATTGGAACCACCAACGGGCCAATCTCAGTTATGAAACCCATGAACTGGTCAAATGTTGACAGTTCGAATCCTCAGGTGAGTACGTGCTGCGGTTCCACCTCTCGATTAGCCCTCATGGACCGCGTCATTGCCCCAAGAGCAAAGATTGAACCACCAGTACCTCGGCCAGCTATCGAGTCTGAGACTCGGACTACCAAGCATTCCCGAGCCTCGGACTTTGTTGCCGAGCCTCGGGCAACCGGTATTACATCATGGAAAAATTAAAAAAAAAAAAAAAACACAGAAAAACATACAACATTCTGCCTCAAAAAAAAAAAAGGAAGGAAATCAGACATGCCCAACGAGAATAAATCTTCCTCGATAAGGAGGAAGATTATTCTCGTGAGAGGTTCACTCGGAGAGAGAGAGAGGGCGTCAGAGAGTCTGACGCCGAGTTTGGTGCAGCGTCAAACACTCTTTGATGCCCTCTCTCTCTCTCTCTCTCTCTCTCTCTCTCTCTCTCTCTCTCTCTCTCTCTCTCTCTCTCTCTCAATGTTCAAATGTGAATGAATCTCAATGTTCAAATATGAATGAATCATTCATTTTCATTTGAACGTTGAGAGAGAGAGAGAGGGCATCGGCTTCGGACACTGCGCATTCCCCCCCCTCTACTCTCGAAATGTGCAAAATGAGAATGAACTTCCCGCTAGAACATAGGCAGATGCACCCATAGATGCTTTGATGCGTTTTTTTTGGTAATTGAATCGGTCACGACACCCTCTCTCTCTCTCTCTCTCTCTCTCTCTCTCTCTCTCTCTCTCTCTCTCTCTCTCTCTCTCTCCCTCTCTCCCCGCTTTAAAAACAATACCCCTACGGTTAACAGCAAGATGTCGCAGACCTCAATCGACGAACAGCCAGTAGCGGGGATCGTTTAGTCTGAGTCACTCGCTTCCATGCATAATCCTTACTACTCTTCATCTTTGATGATGGGTAGTTGGGTCCGCACAACAAGAGTTGGGTGCTAGGTACAAACACATATGTTTAAAGTCGGACTTCATACGACTCTCACGAGAAATAAGTTAGAACCGGATTTAGTAGAAGACATCCAAGTGAAGTGTTGACAACAAAAAGCGAGTCGTTGCCATTAAACTTCCCTTGTGAGAATCCAGACATATAATTTTGTGGGTGTTATTGTTACTCTTTAGCGCCACCTTCCACGCAACAGTCATAGTGTGATGGGCTCGCGTAATAAAGAGGGGAGAATCTTGAAAACCTACGAACAACAAAACGAGGGTATACGTTGTCAATATCCGATGTCATAAAAGCTTGTGGAAAATGTCTCCTTTGAAGTCATTTTTCTTCCCTGTGCAGTACGTTTTTCAGATCACACTTCATTCATGCAATATCATTGTGATTAATCTGAGACTTTTATATGAACAGTCGGTAAGAGTTGACGTGTGTATGAAGTGTCAATTGGATATAGTAAGGTATTTTCTTTTAGTGAACTTTTGACTTTTCTATTGTCGAGTAAGACATTTCGGTAAAGTGAAAATGATTAGCCCAACACATTGAGTGATCAGTCCGATTATTTATTACATGATTGGTAGCACTTGGTACTTTGATATACATGTAGAGAAATTTGAGTGTTAACAGATAAGACTTTAGTTTACTCATGTGAAAGTCATTTTTTGCTTACTCCTTTCATTTTGCTCACTCTTCTTTCTACAAACTACTAGAATATCATTTGCGAGCCGCTTTGATACGAAGTTGCTCGACTTATATTAACTTGATTCCAAGTGCACTCACATGGAGGAACGAAGGTGAGTGATTGGTTTGATTTAACCACCACTACCGCCGCCGTCATAAATTAAGGAAAACCGGTAACACAGGTCCATGAGGGCTACCGGTAGCACAGTGGGGGGAACTAGCAAAGTGGCAAAATTCGAAAATGGTTCGAATTACCTCCGCGATTTATTTAGCGGTTCAAATGTTATTTTTTATTTTTTTTAATATTTTTTCTGTAAAGATCACGACAAAATCTACAACCTTCGAATTTTTAGAGTTGTTGGGTCATCCTTCTAATCGCAAAAAATCACGAAAGTTTGGTTATTTTTTTCGTTGGCCCATACATGGTAGAGAAGCAAAGATAAAAAATAAAAAATGTCTCGTTTGAAGTCATTTTTCTTCCCTGTGCAATACGCTACTGAGATCACACTTCATTCATGCAATATCATTGTGATCATTCATGCAATATCATTGTGATTAATCTGAGACTTTGATATGAACGGTCGGTAAGAGATGACGTGTGTATGAAGTGTCAATTGGACATAGTAAGGTATTTTCTTTCATTGAACTCTCAACTCCTCTATGATCGAGTAAGACCTTTCGGTAAAATAAAAATGAGTTTGCATTCATATTGTTAGTGAAATGATTATAGTGAAAAAGATTCGCCCAACAATTTGAGTGATCGGTCCAATTCTTTATTATATGATTGGTAGCACTGGTGCATGTAGAGAAATATGAGTGTTAACAGATACAACTACAGTTTACTCATGTAAAAATCTTTTTTTTTTACTCCTTTCATCTTGCTCACTCTTCTTTCTACAAACTACTAGTAAATCATTTGCGAGCCGCTTTGATACGAAGTTGTTCGACTTATATTAACTGGATTCCAGGTGCAACATGAGGGCCCCCGAACGTTTGGGGGTCAACCTGAGCGCCCCCGAACGTTCGGCCTTGTAACTATGATTATGAGTACATTTCCGTTTTATCTAATTAAGGATAAAGAAAAGTTTAGTGATTAATTGGGAAGCAGAAAAATGCTTATTGTGTTATATGGTCATATGCTTCTTTAAAATTCAATTTTATTTTTTGACATACAATTATAAGCTAAAAAAATATAAATAAATAAATTAGATAACGAATTATCAAAAATTCATTTTTAAAGAATTATTCCCAGTAGTAAAAAAATAAAAATTGCATTTTGACAACACTCAAACTTGATTCTTCAGTTAAATGTGAAAGATAAGATAGATGTTTATGAAACACACTTTAGCCGATGTAGTTTAAATAAAAAATGTGATTGTTATAGTCAAGGCTAAGTGATTTCGATAATTTTTCATATTCCTTACGTTTGACAAAATAAACAAAAAAAAATTAAAGAATGTAAATTAAGTTGTCAAAAAATTATGTCATAAAAAAATAATGATCCATTGATTTTTTGTCGTTCTTCTACTACTGTGACTTTTCTTAATATTTGTCGGTACTCGAAATGGTATTTTATACTTTTGAGGATTATTTTCTGTATAAATTATTAAAACAAAAAATTAAATGTAGTTAATTAATTTTTACCCTAATTGCAAATGATTAGATAAACAACTAATTACTACGTGTACAACTTTATGATACAATCCAACTACCTGAGCAAATTTGGTGTCCCACTTAAGTTGATTATGGGTAAAGTAATACATGAGGAAATAAAGTTGTTTGTTTTATTTTATGAGCTTCGTCGTTAACATCAGGGTGATTCTTGAAATAATTTTAAGCTATGAATATTATTTTTTGTAAAGTTCTACTACAACTGATTGTTGAATTGTAATTTTTCGTTACTTACAGTAGTTTTGTGTTGGCTAATTCAAAACTTTTAGTCTATTATATTTCAAAATTTATACTTCATTGATTAGTAGAGTTTTACTACTTTTATTTTCATAATAATCGACAAGGGTATGAAGAAAAAAATAAAATAAAATAAAATATTAATGTATGCAGGGTT